GGACTGAAAGGTCCCAGGTTCGATTCCGGTCAAGGGCATGTACCTGGGTTGCGGGCACATCCCCAGTAGGAGATGTGCAGGAGGCAGCTGATCGATGTTTCTCTCTCATCGATGTTTCTAGCTCTCTATCTCTCTCCCTTCCTCTCTGTAAAAAATCAATAAAATATATTAAAAAAAAATAAATAAATAAAATAATTTTATGGTTGGGGGTCACCACAACATGAGGAACTGTATTAAAGGGTCGCGGCATTAGGAAGGTTGAGAACCACTGCACTAGAGGGACTTACAGCACTCAGAAAAGCTATCATACTTGTGGTTAGGGTTTACTACATATTACTGTTTAAGTGTACAGGTTAAAATGAGAAGGAAAAAGCCTCGCAGGGCAGAATCCAAGAGAAACCAGGTACAAGCTCCCAGCTGTCCTCTCCCAGCGGTCACAAACTGTGCTTAATTCTCTCAGAAATGGTATGTGACACAGGTGAAGTGCTGCCTACTAGGAGCCCCCACATGACTGACCTTAGCTACTCAGTCTCCAGTCTCCACCAGAGGCCAAGCTGATACAGTGTGGCCCCAGGTTCCAGGTGAACATAAACAGATGCTCACCATAAATCAAATTGTTGGTATAAACTATCTGGCAAGTCCCAAGACCCCAGGCACACAAATAGTACACTCTTATCCCAAGGGCTTAGAGGTTATCTCTCAGGAATGGTCAAGAACCAATTCCGACCTATGCAACGTATGCAATTTGGACAACCCATACCTGATGAATTAACACTTTACTACACAGGAAGCCATCAAGGAAACAGTAGCCTAGATGAGAAGCAGCTCACCAGATGGTATTAGAATTGAACACAGAGCTGCTTGGTCCTGTGTGCTCCCTTCCCATGCAGGCGATATGTCCTCAGTAGAGCATGTACTAGACTAGAATATGAGCAGCCAATCAGGAAGGTCACCAGTGTTCCTATCATCCTTGTTGAAAGTCCCTCAGTGGGAAGAGGACTTGGCAGGAGCTGTGAAGCACAGGTAGGGTGTCAGGTAGAACATGGATTACTGCCCTAGGATAGCAGTGTGATGTAGAGAAAGGAATTGCTGGAAAGGCTTTTCGGTATTGAGCAAACAGATATATTAATTAACATAACATTGCAATTCATTTGTTAGCCCTTATCCTTCAATAGATTATTGTGATACTGGGAATAAAATACATTATGCAGAGAAATAAATTATTTAGGTTAGAATTTTGTACTCCTAAGACATGCTAATGAAAGATGATACTTGATAATGGAGAAACTTTATTTCAAATAATAGCAATGAGGATGAGGATGATAATGAAAATGATAATACCTCCATTATTCACTCTGCTGATTCTAAATAAACTCTTGATCCATGCAGCATTTAAACAATTCATTAATATCAGAAAAAATGTAAATAGCATATTCTTAGGTGTTTTACTTCCTTTCCTTCAATACATTACTCACAAGATCCAAATAGTAAAAGAAAAAAATTAAATTTTGGAGAATGATCCTGTTAAAGATATTCAATATTAACATAACATCGCAGGGAGTTCCTTGAAGACGGTAAGTACATACTGTTACAGAATTTTTAATCATAAACTTGTTGAAAAAAGCATTTAATAAAGTTTAATTCTAGTTCCAATAAAATGCACTTGTAGCTCTTCTTTCAAGTTTAGTTTTCAACTAAATAACAGCCCTCCCTTGCCTATCAGAGGACATCCAAACTCTTTCTCTGACATTCTAGACTCCCCATTGTCTACTTCCATCTAACTTATCTGCCTCTAACTACAGCCCCCCACCCCCCACCCCCCGCCACATACGGTTCCCCTCACATCACAGCAGTTTTGGAGACTGGTAGTCCCAAGATCAAGGTGTCAATGGGGTTGGCTTCTCCTCTGGCCTTTCTTCTACTGTGAGAAAATACATTTCTGTGTTTAAGTCACCCATCTGTGAGTTATTTTGTTATGGCAGCCCTAGCAGACTAACACAGGCCTGAACACCAGGACACTGGGCTCATTGGAAGCCATTTTAGAAGCTGCCACAGAGGATGTTGGGCTAATCTATTGTCAAGGCCCTTTTCTGCAATCATCTTTTAAGAGGACTCTTTGCTTTTGCAGAAAAAGACACATTTAGCACTCTCCAATTTGCAATATTAGCCTGATAGCCATTAAGCAATCTGAAATAAATCTGTATTCAGAGAATTCTAAGCTCCGTGATTTACAGTCACCTGCAAAGATGTCAATTGCTAGATTTAACATTCTTTATACATTCAAAACTCAAGTATTCTAAGTGCATAACATTAAAAAAACTTTTAGACTTGCCCCCATGTGTCCTAATTTGTTGTACTTAAAAATGCTTTTTTAATTTGAGATTGGACCAATTTCATTTGCCAGCATTTACATATCTATACATATCCTAGGCATCTAAACAGAAGCAAAACCATAGTAATATACTTTCTTCCAACTGAGTTTTTAAAAAAGGATTGACGTATGCTGAATTTCCTACAGCTATAGACTTTCAGAGGGCAGTCTTGCTCTTTTAAAAGAAATTAAACTAATAGTTTTATGGAGACCTTTTCAATGTAAAATAACTTGTGGGAGTGCTCTTCAAAGCATTTGAAAGTTCTAATAATCTAGCCACCCACCCACATCAACACTATTCATTAGAGCCTCTTTTTACTTGAAAGGAAGTATAACAAAACAAAAAAATCAAAAGAAAGTAAGATTAATCCAAGCATGTACACCAACTCCATTTCTCATTAACAACTGTACCAACTGAAAAATAAGCCATCTTGGACTTATGGCCTCAGCCATGCCAGAATAGCTGGTATTAGACTTAGCCTTCCTGCCATAAACTGGACAAAATATATGAAACAACAATGTTCAGGATTGGATGGCAACATAGATTTTTGGTAGGCATCTAACATTCTTTGCCTACTTCTTTGCCTACCAAATACTGAGACCCCACTATGTGCCACGCACCATTTTAGGTGATAGGGATATAGCAGTGAACAAATCAGCTAGATCCTCGTCTTTATGATGAGAAAGCTAGGTAAACGAGGGTGGGGAGAAGGAGCAGTATAATAGGGAGGATTAAAGGCAAGAGAGAGTATGATTCCCACAAGAAACTAATATGATCTTTTCAGAATTACTAAAACTTCTTGTCATTTCATGTCACCCACACTTTCTGTAGTTATACTACACCAACTGGGCAGGAATAATCTTAATTTTAAGGACTCTCTAGAGTCCAGCACAGAACAGAGACCAATGCTTGTTGGATTGCACTGCCCTAAAAACTAAAATTCAATAAAATGTAGTTCACAAATATAAGATATATACACACAGTAAAGTGTATTCTAGTCTCAACCATTTCCTGTGTCTTGAACATGAGCTTTAAACTCTCTTCCTTAGCTTCCTGAGATGTGCGATATGGGGACTGGTCCCTTACAACTTAATTCTGGATTCCTTTCTTTAAAATCTACTAGATTTTATAGACAACTACAAGTTAACCCCTAAAATATAAAACCAGTTATGTTTACTATCCATGTTAAAATTTTATCAAAATGGACACCTCCCATAGCTCTACTTCGTTTTCTAGAAATCCTAAATAAGAAAGGGAAAATATACACCAAAATTCTAACTAAAAAATTCACTGACAGCACTAAACAAAAAGGAATGGTGAGGGGAGGGGGAAAGAAAGGGCCACAATTTTAAGCAATTCTGAGATTAAAAACTAAAAATTGTTGTTTAACAAAGAGGTGGTTTTTTCTTTTAGCAAAATCATACGTGCTGAGATTCATGATGTTGAAGCTATTAAGTGCTTACCAAAAAATGGTTTTCCTGTAGTTAGCTCTTCTCAATATTCCACTTTTAAACTCTCCTTATATAAGCAATAGTCTCGACAATAGTCTCCTACGTCTCCATGGCAAAGGTAACAAAGCTTGAGGAAATAAGTTTAAATAGCTAAGAGGGTTTTACATTGGAAACAAGAAAGAACTTTCTGGTAATGACAAGTCCAGTCACCTGAAATTACTTTCATGATCATTCTCTACTTGAACACTGGATGTTTAAAACCATTCAAACCAACAAGCTCCTCCCAAACAGCATCTTATCTTATTTCAGGCCTATTTTCCTACATTAATTACAACTCCCAAAACTAAGTAAATCTATTCTGATAGAATTACGGAAAAAGCTAAACATAAATAGGCTTAATACAGGTCAAGCCCAGGAAACCAGGATCTAGAACTGAAAACTAATTCCCAGGAAGTGCCTTTTCTTCTCAGAAAATAGAAAGTGCTACTATTCTGTGTAGCTCTCAATGGGCTCTTGCCCAGCCAGCTCATTTCCGAGCACCACCAAGGGAAATCTCAGACTCACATTTAATTCACAAAACAGTCAGACATACACTCCCCAAAGCCATTCCCATCAATTACCAACAGAGCCCTTTCTTATAATCAGAACTGCACTCCAATTCAGTGCTGGAGGGAAGGGCCAATTTATCACAAGCTAAGAGCTGTTTCTACTTTCACTACCTCAGAATATCCCAAGGAAGTTATCAATTCAACACACAAGGAAACTGGAATCCATGTGTTAAGAAATTAACTTGGAAACTCTCTAACTTTTGAAGGTAGCATCTAGGCACAAATACAGATTCCCTGTTTTGCCTTTTTTTTTTTCCCTTAAACAGAACAGTTTTGTTTGTTTTCACTGATTTTCAGAGAGGAAGGGAGAGGGAAAGATAGAAACATCAATGATGACAGAGAATCATTCATCAGCTGCCTCCTGCATGCCCCCCACTGGGGATCGAGCCCACAACCTGGGTATGTGCCCTTGACCGGAATCGAACCTGGGACCCCTCAGTCCACAGGTCGATGCTCTATCTACTGAGCCAAACCAGCTAAGGCCAGATTCCCTGTTTTGAAAAAGTACTAAAAGGCTAAATTTTTACTTAACAGTACTACTGTGTTCAATTCAATAAGGACTCAACACATAACATTGTTAAAAAATATTTATTTTGATCCAGTCCCCCATAAATCAGTCAGTAGAGGCTCCACTCTGCCACAGATGCATCCGAGAAGAGCCCTGTGCCATTCAATTGGTGAACGTGTGAACGATGTCCCATCTCTTATGCCAGCCAGAGGGCACACCTTCCATGTTGTTACTGTCCATTGATTGCTTCCAAATCCAGATGACCAAACAGTCCTTTATCCCCAAAGTAAGCTAAAATGTTTGTGAAGAGGAGAAAGAAATTAAACCCCAAAATAAAAACTTCTTAAACATAGTTTAAGAACTAGATTTTATACATTCACGTCTGTGTTTACTCGTCTACCAAATTCAGTTACTAGAAGAGAAAGATCAATCCCATTAAACAAAAGGAAAAATCAAACATAGAAACCTATATTTAAAGAAATACAATTTTGTTAGTTTTGACAGTAGTTACCTGTTATATAAACAAAAAGGGAAATATAAGTTGAGGTCAATAAAAGATATATGATAATGATTTTCATTAACATGAAGGACTGATGAGCCCAGAAAATAAACCTGTATCATTACTAGATGTAACATCAGTAAAATTAAAAAACACATTTATTGAATGCTTTCTATGGGTCAGACAATATACAGAAAGTTCACAACTCTTAGTTATGATCCCTATTTTAAAGAAATTGAAACTGAGGCTTTGATATGGTTACATATTGTTAGTGGCAGAGTGGGATGTGACCCAGGTGCTCTTAACCATTAGCCCACACACATCCCAAAAGCAGTCAGCCTTCATTTCTGCCTCACCTAATTCTTACCCCAAACATTCCACCCACTAACTAGCCAGTGATGGCGCACCTATGACACGCGTGTCAGAGGTGACATGCAAACTCATTTTTTTGGTTGATTTTTCTTTGTTAAATGGCATTTAAATATATAAAATAAATATCAAAAATATAAGTCTTTGTTTTACTATGGTTGCAAATATCAAAAAATTTCTATATGTGACACGGCACCAGAGTTAAGTTAGGGTTTTTCAAAATGCTGACACACCGAGCTCAAAAGGTTCGCCATCACTGAACTAGCCCAACCTCCTGAATCATTTGCTGACTAAGCAACAGGATCCAGGAAAGAGATAAGAGGTGTTTTATTTCTAAATCTTATTGATTAAAGATGTGATTCTTAGTAATATGGCAATAAAATTGCACCACAAAATGACAATGAGTATTCTGTAAAATTTTTTAAAAGTATTTTTCCTTTGTCTAAGAAAAAAACCAACACTCTTCTATTTCCAATTTTCAAAAGTGTATTAAAATCTCTCATTAAAGGCCAAATATTTATAAATACAGTTAAGATATGAAAATAAATTATTCATCTAGTAAGATCTTCTCCTCAAAGGTAATGAATGAGCATCCAAAATAAAGAGGAAAAGAAAACCTTCCTTGGCTTTATACAGATAATGGGAACAATGATTCTCTTAATGAACCTTAGTATTGACATATTTTACTTAAACAATGTTTTACTAAAATATTGCCTTATTCATTAAAGAACTGCATTTTAAATGCGTTATCAAGCAACATTTGTTGATCACATGCAATGCACCATCCTGGGTGAGGTGCATGAAAACGAGTATTTTCCTCATCTCAAGGAACCCAACTAATTAGCAAAAAAAAAAAAAAACAGACCAGTAAATCATCAACTATATTATTTATATAAGTATTACATAAATAAATTCATACATAAACAACGAACTTGATGTTAATGAACAATAAACTTTCCATTAGTAAAACCCTAGCAGCCACCATTGTTTCTTTCAGGGTACAAATAAGGCAGCCTCCCCAGTGCAAACAGCACAGTATATGAAATGCTATAACTGGATAATTCTCTTCAGACGCTTAGTCAATTCTTTCCTAAACACAGATACTCCTGGAAGGAAACCAGAGATGCCCATAACGACAGAAAAGGGAGTCAGCGCCAGCAAGGTGCGCTGAGAAGACACTAAGGTGAAGAAATGAAAAAGCAAGGGGCGGTTGTTCCATCTAGTTTGCAACCAGGATCAACTCTTGGTGGGATAAATGAAACCAAAAAGTACAACCAAAGGGCACACTCTGTCCCCACCTCTGCATCCCGGATCACTTGGGACACACACAAAAATGCTACTGTCCAGCATGCAGGTCCAGTCTGAAAATGGTACCACAAGATGCAAAAAGCCCACCAAGACGTCTGGGTGAGCTGACGAATTGATGCAACACTGTTGGCAGCTACTTTAGGTGCTTACAGGACAAAATATAATGTAAATATGCAACAACCATAATATAAGCAGAAAATGGCAGAAAATAATACTATGGGAACACAAAAACAGACTAGCTTTAGCTGGAAGAAGGAGAAAATGATTTAGGGAAGAGATGACATTTGAGATTGGGCTTTTCTAGAATTACATTTTCAAATGGAAACAGAGGGGAAGGAGCATTCCAGGCCGAGGGAGCACAAGCACATGGACAAAGGCATGAAAATAGACAGTTCATTCTGGAATTGGCAAACACCATCTCACAGCTAGAGCACTGTTCCCCTAGGAGAAAGAAATGAGGTAAAGGCCCAGCCGGCATGGCTCAATGGTTAAGCATCAACCTATGAACCAGGAAGTTACAGTTCAATTCCCAGTCGGGGCACATGCCCGGGCTGTGGGCTCAATCCCCAGTGTGTGGCGTGTAGGAGGCAGCTGATCGATGGTTCACTTCATCATTGATGTTTCTCTCTCTCTCTCCCTTCCTCTCTGAAATCAATAAAAATATATTTTTTAAAGAAATGAGGTAAAGGAGATGACACAAAAATGATTAAAAATCACTATTAACAGTTTATTGCTCACATATTACTTGCCAAGTACTGTTAATACTTCACATACAGTATTCTTAATCAAGCCTCATGGCAATCATATGAACTAGTATTTTGCCCAACTTATAAAAGAGGAAACTTCATTTTAGAAAGGTTACTAGCCTCTTGGGGAAAGATACCTGTTGGCAACTTCCAGTGCTTGGAAAAATGTTCCCACAGTCTGACCCAGTCGCCCATCTCTGATAACGTCTCCTAAAGTAACATTTCTCTAAGGAAACAACTAGTCTAAGGTCAGTCAGCTAGTAAATAGCAGACACATTATCTCAAGTCCCCATTTTACAAAAAAAAGGAAATGGCAGTTCAGAGAGTAAAAGCTAAGGAAAAAGGAACTTAGTGGTGATCTCTGAAAGCAGTTTTAACAAGCCACAGCATAAAGGTGAACCGCAGGAGGTTAAAGGGAGGGAGGGGAGTGAAGAAAGGTAGCAGTGAGTGAAGACCATTTATTAAAGCACTTTATTAGGGAAAAGAGAATTAACTGCAGAAATGGACAAGTTGAAGGTACATAGGGTGCTCATCTCAGGAAAAAAAGACCCTTTCCTCTTAGGTAAGAGGCTGATAAGGCAGAGAGGGTAGAGGAAATTCCTATCAGATGGCACTGTGCTAATTACAGTAAGAGGTAAGTAAGATCATCTGAGGGAGGCCACGTGACCCAGTGGAAAGAGTGTAGGCTTTGGAGACACACATACTCATATTCCACCATCTACCAACTGTGACCTGTTCCGAAGAACTGAAGGGACAATTAGAAATATTGCATATAAAGCACCTGAAACAGTGGGTGACACATTGTTAAGTGACAGTAATATTGCCATTAGTATTTTCTGCCCCTAGAAAAAATGGCTTCAAGTAGGAGTTTGAAGAAACTGAAGACCTAGGATGGCTGATAAAAAGTCTGTTAGGGCAATCCACATGAAATGTCTGTAAAACAGAGGGTCAAGTTGAAATCCCACAGCAACTGTGCAGGGGTCCTAGCCATTAGAGTGCCAGAACTATCAGTCCCTCCTAGAGAACAAACCTGCTGCTCTAGATTCTGCCTTTACATATATGTATGTACATACACACATATGAATAGTTTTCATAAGTATACATATATACATACATGTGTCAGTACAGGAATATGTCTACTCTTTGTACCTATGCGTGTGTGTAGTTTTTGCAAGTGCTTATCAAGCACTGGCAAGGTTGTTTCTGAGAGAGAAATTTGACAATGCATTTTCAGAACCGGAAGTGCTCATATAGCTGACTTATTAATCCCATGAGAATCCTATCTAATAATAGCCAAACATGGTAATTGACTGTACCTTCGCTACACCTCCCATTGGCTAATCAGTGTGATATGCAAATTAACCGCCAACAAAGATGGCGGTTAGTTTGCATATACCGGCTGGGAGTGAAGCAAGCCAGGCAGCCAAAAACAAGCCGGGTGGCAGAGGCAGGAGCAAAACAAGCAGGGCCGTGGCGGGAAGCGGGGGCGAACAAGCTGGGCCAGGGGGAGGAGGGAGGCAGGAACGAAACAAAACAAAACAAGCTGGGCTGGGGGGAGGAGGGAGGCGGGAACGAAACAAGCCAGGCCGGGAGGAAGAGGGAGGTGGGAACGAAACAAGCCGGGCCAGGGGGAGGAGGGAGGTGGGAACAAAACAAGCTGGGCCGGGGGGGGGGGGGGGGGCGGGGGAGGGGGGGGCGAAACAAGCCAGACATCCCCCGAGGGGTCCCAGACTGTGAGGGCACAGGCCAGGCTGAGGGACCCCTCCCCCACCCAGTGCACAAATTGTTGTGCACCGGGCCTCTAGTGTATTATAAGGAACTAAATCAAAACCTATAGAATCTAGGTGCATAAAAATGTTCATTATATTATGTAAAATATTGAAAAACTGAAATACCTAAGTAATCAAAACCTGGAAAATATATAGGATATCAACTCTAATTTTAAGTGAAGACAATAAAATACTACGTACTCTTATTAGAATGATATAAAAAGTTGTATTTATCTGAATAAGGTTAAGATGGAAATATGGGAAATTTAAAACAGTTTACCTTTTAAAGTGGTAGGATGATAAATTATTGCTTTTTTAAAAAAAAATATGCTTCACTGCAACATACTGAGGATTCTCAGAGGGAAGGAAAGAGGTCAACCAAAGAACTTATATGCGTAACCCATGGACACAGACAACAGTGGGGTGAAGGAATGGACGTGGGGAGAAGGGAGTCTGGGGGATAAAAAGGAGGAAATCTGTAACACTTTCAATAAAGATAAAATTTTTAAAAAATTAAAAATATGCTTCATTACAGTTATGATACAGTAAATAAAAATTAGGAAGGGGAGAGAAAGTACTTACCTGCTAACAGGCTAAACTGGTCTGCAAAATGCTACAGTATTCCAATAGCCCAAAACTATAACTGCTAAAGCTCCATTACAATGCCTACCACTACTACTCTTCTGCTTCCCAATGACTCAGTACTAACATATGAATATCTGCCCTGAAATATTTATTTGTAAGAACAGTACCTCAAAACAGTTGGTTCAGGCATTCCAGGATCTGCACCCCTCTTAAATCCTGAGAGAGAGGGGAAGGGAGGAGAGAAAAAAAAAAGAATACTAATTAAAACCCCAGCAGACAAAAAATTTATAATCAAGACTGTCTTTTTCAGTAACTAGGGTAGCTGGAATGATATCCCAAGCTACCAGCTTTATCTTGACTTACCTATGCTACAGAACAGTTTCTAATCTATTATGTCTAGGACCAATCAGTAGGGAAGACAAACTACTTTCTTCCTATTATACACACAATTAGCACAGGAGACCCTAGCATGTACTATTTTTCATTATCAAACACTAGAGGCCCAGTGCATGACTTTCATGCACTGGGCGGGGGGGGGGGGGGGGGGCGGGGGGCGGCGGTGGTGTCCCTCAGCCCAGCCTGTGCCCTTTGGCAGTCCGGGAGCCCTCAGGGGATGTCCAACTGACAGCTTAGGCCTGCTCCCTATAGCTGTCAGTTGGACATCCTTAGCACAGCTGTGGAGGTGGGAGAGGCTCCCGCCACGGCTGCTGCGCTCACCAGCTCACCAACCATCAGCCCGGCTTCTGGCTGAGGGGCACTCCCCCTGTGGGAGTGCACTGACCACTAGGGGGCAACTCCTGAGCATGTGCCCCTGGTAGTCAGTAGGCATCGGTCATTCCGCTATTCGATCTATTTGCATATTACCCTTTTATTATATAGGATTATTATATAGGATATTCAAGTTATTATTTAACAACATAATTAAAAGTCTATTCTTATTATAAGCATGATTAAATAAACCTTAACATTCAGTTTTGTTTAACCTAATCAAGTCAACATTCTTATTACAAGTATGATTAATTAAACCTTTTACCATTTAAAATGTTTATTAGCACTGGCCAGTGTGGCTCAATGGTACAGTGTCAGCCTATACACCAAGGGGTCTCAGGTTTGATTCTTGGTCAGGGATTGCAGGTCGATCCCAGGCCCCCATTTAGGGTGGGTGCAGATAATAATGTGCCTCTCACACATGAATGTTTCTCTCTCCCTCTCTCTCTCTAAAAATCAATGGGAAAATATCCTCTGGCAAGGATTAATAAAAATTTTTAAAAATATGTTTATTAATTAATTGGACAACATATTAATTTGCTGAAATAATTTATTAAGATTAGAGTTGGTGTCAAGAACTATGAGGGGTATGAAATTTTATCCCATTTTTCAAGACAACAAACTTGTCTGCCATATTCCTAGTCAGAAACAAAGAACCATTTATTACTCCCAGCTACAGCAATAGTCAGAGTACCATCATAACAGAGACAACCCTGCATTTAGGGAACCAGAGTCTTTCATAATGGGCAGTAAGCATATCTCCCCTTTGTTCTGGAGGGAGATACTATTGTCCAAGGCTGTTCATTCTACAAACGCATCCTTAAATAGATAACATTGGAGCAAAGGTAGTCAGAGCTTCTGTTCCCAAGAATTGTAGAAATTCAAGAAACTGTGGAAAACTGTCTTCCAACAGATGGCTCATTAAAATCTTTTTGTTGGTAAATGTCCAAACTGATTCTTTATTATGTCCTATTTTGTAGCACTATAATCCCACTGTACTCCTTGAAGTCCTAAAAAAGGTATGTTTTAACCTAAACTACACAAGAAAATCAATCTACAATTGCAGGTTTTAGTGAGAGGTGAGATGGAGAAGTAAAAGAAACAACCTGGAAACTAGGTTAGACATTACAGTGTAAGGAAAAAGGCCATTAACAAGAAGTACTGAAAAAATAGCCTCAGCGTCAATCTCAACCTGAGTTGGATGCTAGGGTGAAAATACCACAATGGTAATCCTAGGAAAGAGAATATAGCCAGCGCGCACAAAAAGGAAAACAAATTCTAGGATGGAAAAGAAAAGCATTATCTACTCTTCAGACCAAAGCCCTTGATGTACAGATTGTAGCAACCAGCCACAGCTTTCTGGAAAGTAGAAAAGGAATCTCAAAAAGAGGAGGAATAATAAACAACATAAACAGATCCAGAGACAGAGAATCATTGATCAGAACGTCAAACCTCAGAGGGAAGGTAGGGGAGGGTGGTGGTAAGGGGGAGAGATCAACCAAAGGACTTGTATGCATGCATATAAGCCTAACCAATGGACACAGACAACAGGGGGGTGAGGGCATGAGTGGGGGCGGGGGGGGGGGGCAGTGGGTAATGGGGGGGATAAGGACACATATGTAATACCTTAATCCAGGGGTCCTCAAACTTTTTAAACAGGGGGCCAGTTCATTGTCCCTAAGACCGTTGGAGGGCCGGACTACAGTTTAAAAAAAAACTAGTCGGCTGCTAAGCAACAGACAGCGGCTGCAGGCCGGATAAATGTTTTCAGCGGGCCACATGTGGCCCCCGGGCCGTAGTTTGAGGACCCCTGCCTTAATCAATAAAGAAATTAAAAGTCAAAAAAGAAAGTTCCCAGGTTCAATTCCAGTCAAGTACCTTGTACCTTGGTTATGGGCACATCCCCAGTAGGAGGCGTGCAGGAGGCAGCTGATCGATGTTTCTCTCTCATCGATGTTTCTCTCTCTCTCCCTTCCTCTCTGTAAAAAAAAAATTCAATAAAATATATATATATTTTTAAAAAGGTAGATGAAAAGACTTATAAAGCAACAAAGAAACCACAGGACAGAGACCAAGAGCAGTCGACAACAGGACCCCACATACACAATGGAAAAAGAAAATGGCACAATGAAGGGGAAGAATCAAAGCCCCCCTACCTTTCTTAGCTAAAAAGAGAGCTGGTCCCACTGTCCCACCAGCCAAACTGGGCCCTTCCACCATTTGAAAGTCAGGAAGAGGGGTAACAGCATAGACCAGTGATGGCGAACCTTTTGAGCTCGGCGTGTCAGCATTTTGAAAAACCCTAACTTAACTCTGGTGCCGTGTCACATATAGAAATTTTTTGATATTTGCAACCATAGTAAAACAAAGACTTATATTTTTGATATTTATTTTATATATTTAAATGCCATTTAACAAAGAAAAATCAACCAAAAAAATGAGTTCACGTGTCACCTCTGACACGCGTGTCATAGGTTCGCCATCACTGGCATAGACTGTAACAGTAACCTGTCAATTATTTAATCCTTGATACTTAAAAAAAGTCACTAAAATCTTGGAAAGTAATGCTTAAAAAAAAAAGTATTCAAAATAAAGGAGGAAAAAGATCTTTTTTAAGCCCTGGATACTTAAGTATTCCCAGACTATCAGTTGGCTTGCAATTCATGGGGAACATCCAGCATAATCAAAGGCTCTTGTACTTTCTTAGGCAAGGCACCTAAAACAAATAGGAAGCTAAAATCATAGGATTTTGAAGTGTGAAACTGTTAGAAAATGTCAAACGTGATGCTCAAACTGACAGCGCTGGGGCTGTTTCCTTCCCATCATGTTGCCTGCGTCGGGCAATAAGATTAAACAGAAAAGAAAAGAAAAAAACGACGCAAGGTTAGAAACAAGATAAAGTCCCAATGTGCAGCCCTGGATGAAAAATAAATGCCTGGGCACTTACAAATCTCTGCAGTACAGCATAAAGGTTAAGAGTATGGGCCCTGCCCTGACCTGTTTAGCTCAGTGGATGGAGCGTCAGTCTGCGGACTGAAGGGTCCCAGGTTCGTTTCCGGTCAAGGGCATGTACCTGGGTTGCGGGCACATCCCCAGGAGGGGGCGTGCAGGAGGCAGCTGATCGATGTTTCCCTCTCATTGATGTTTCTAACTCCCTCTCTCTCTCCCTTCCTCTCTGTAAAAAATCAATAAAATATATTTTAAAAAAAAGAGAGAGAGAGAGTATGGGCCCTGATGGCCTGCCTGAGTTCACAGCTGTGTGGCCTTCCGGCAAGGAATCAACTTCTCTGCGGCTCGGCTTCTCGCCGGTGCAGTGGGTCCGAGAATAAAGTCACCCTCGCCCTTCTTGGTGCAGAGGAGGAAGCACCGGCATCCAGCAACTACTGTCATCGCCGTGCTTCCAGGCGGTGGCGTGTCCGCGTCACAGGCCTCTCTCGCGCCAGGCCCACCTGGACAGGTGAGGACGAACGCCCTGAAAACCCACCTGGTGCCAGAGTGCAATGTGTCGCTTTCACATACTGTTCCTTAGTCCCTCTCACTCTCCCAACAAGCCTGCAAAGCATGTCACCTCCGCTTCGCAGATGTAAAAGCAGAAATGGAGGGATTGCGTGGCTTGTTACAGGCCATAGAAATACTCAAAGGTCGAACAGGAACTCGCACTCATGTTGGACCGACCCCACTGGACCCGACGGCCTCAAAGGACCTGAAACGTGACACAGCGTGGCCACATTGCTCTCTCCCGCCCCAGAAGCCAAACATGGAGGCGCCGCCTCCGCACTCCCCGCCCGCCCGTCTCCTCGCGCGCTCTTCTCCCACTGACCCAGGTAAATCACGAGAGGGATAAAGCCCCAGCGGATGGCGAACTGGCCGCCCTTGAAGAGCTGCTGCAGCCTCTGCTTGGCCTCTTTGCTCAGCTTCACCATGGTGACGGCCCGGGCGGCGCTGCGAGCACCCACTGCCGCGGCGGAGTCCTCCCTCCGAGGAAAGAGAGGGGTGTGCGCAGGCGCCACACGCGACTTTTACGGCACGAGTCGTGAGCGTCGCCAGCAGAGGTCGTAATTCACCGCCCGGAACCCGCCTCGCGCCCGCCGCGGCGCTGTCTATCACAGGCGCATGCGTGGTCGAGTCTGCTCTCTGTCCCAGGCTCAAGTTCACCTCCAGGTTTAGGAACCGCCTGGTTTCGCCGGTTGCAGGATTCTGGAGGCTGTTCTTTCCGTTCGGAACGCCGTCTCTCTGTTCACCGGCTTCTCCATCTTTTCAAGTACATCTCCACGTGTTCCCTGCCTGACATAGAAGCAGCATTATATTCAGGAGGACTGGGTTTTAGGATAAAAGATTAAAGATCCATTGTTCCTTGAAGGCACCATATTCTCTCTTATCTCTTGCTGTTGCCTCTGCCAGAAATGCCTTCACACCCACCCCCTCTTTTTTTAATATATTTTATTGATTTTTTTTTTTTTTTCAGAGAGGAAGGGAAAGGGATAGAGAGAAACATCGATCAGCTGCCTCCTGCACACCCCCCACTGGGGATGTGCCCGCAACCAAGGTACATGCCCTTGACCGGAATCGAACCCCGGACTCTTCAGTCCGCAGGCCAACGCTCTGTCCACTGAGCCAAACAGGTCAGGGCCACGCACCCCCTTTTTAAAGTCCACTTAAGTCATCTCCTCCAAGATGTAATCTCCCTTGTTTTGCTCCTGGCCCCTGTCCAGGGCAAGAGGAGCACTTCCTCACGGTGCCTCCACTCTCTCCGGTTGATTTATCAATATTTATTGATGTGACATTCTTCCTAAATAGACTACAGGCATTATATCCCCAGTGACTGTATCTATTACACTGTAGAATTGGCCAACTTGAGAATATTTTCCTCAAGCTGTAAGAGATAAAAGAGCTCTTTCCATTGTCCTGGAGCAACACATATGATTAAACTAAAAGCTTGCCTCTTCCAAAATGTCATATAGTTGGAATCACACAGTAGGTAAACTTTTGGGATTGGCTTTCTTTCACTTAGTAATGTCTATTTAATCTCTCTCCATGTCTTTTCTTGGCTTGATAGAGCATTTCTTTTTTTTATTATTATTATTCAACTTATTGGGGTGATATTGGTCCACATGAACATGTGGGTTTCTATGTTACAAGATCTGTATATTGCACCGTGTACCCGCCACCCAAGTCATATCTTCTCCTGTCACCTTATGTTAGGACCGTTTTCTCCCCCCACCCCCTTCCCTTTGGCAACCACCACACTGCTGTTTGCGTTCACGAGTTTCCGTTTTATATCCCACATAGAAGTGAAATCATATGGTTCTTAGCTTTTTCTGACTGACTTATCTCACTTAGCATAGTGTTCTCAAGGTCCATCCATGTTGTTGCAAATGGCGCTATTTCATCCTTTCTTATGGCTGAGTAGTATTCCATTGTGTATATGTACCACAATTCTTTATCCAGTCCTCTTATCACAGGACACTCGGGTTGTCTCCATGTCTTGGCCACTGTGAATAACGATTGAGCATTTCTTTTTAGCACAGAATAATATTCCATCACCTGGATGTACAGTTTATCCATCCACTCACCTATTGAAGGACATTTTGGTTGCTTGCAAGCTTTTGGCAATTGTGAATAAAGCTATGATAAATATCTGTTTGTAGGTTTTTGCATGCATATGAATTTTCAACTTCTTTGGGTGAATATCAAGGGCCAGGATTGCTGGATTGTATGATAAGAGTCTGTTTAATTTTGTAAAGAACTGCTATCTTCCAAAATGCCTGTACCATTCTGCATTCCCACCAGCAAGAAATAAAAGTTCCTGTTGTTCTACATCCTCACCAGCATTTGATGATGTTAGTGTTTTGGAATTTAGCCATTCTAATAAGGTATAACAGTATATTATTGTTGTCTTAATTTGTGACATGTGATGTGGAGCTTCTTTTCATATGCCATCCCATCACTTTTGCTGACTCTAGTCCGTAAACGAAATTCACTAGGCCCAGGCAGCACTCAAGGGGGTGGGAATCACCCAAGGGCATACATAGCAGGAGATGGGGCCACTGAGGACCATTTCAAAGGCTGCCCAATATAATTCAATTCGGGGGAAAAAAAGGAGAGGAATTGGAGACAAACATAGACAATGCTTTTGAAGAGTTTTGCTACAGAGAAAAACAACGAAATGAGAGGTTAGTTGCAGAAAGATGTGACATTAAAGTATGTTTCCATTTTAATTATTTTACAACAAACCAGATCATTCTTATCAATAAAAGTGGCATATTTAATATATTGAATGTGTAATTAAATAGAATTCTACTTTACACCATTATTCATATATTCCTTGGAAGGATTGTGACCAACAGTGCTCTGGTTTGTAAAAAAATAAACGTGAGAGGGAATTTTAAAAATGGTCTGTTTGGCCCTAGCCAGTTTGGCTCAGTGGATAGAGCGTCAGCCCTGCAGACCGAAGGGTCCCGGGCTCAATTCCAGTCAAGGGCACATACCTTGGTTGCAGGCTCCTCCCTAGCCTGGGCCCTGGTCAAGTTCGTGCAGGAGGCAACCAATCAATGTGTTTCTTTCACATTGATATTTTCCTCTGTCTTTTCCTCTCTCTTCCACTCTCTCTAAAATCAATGAAAAAATATTCTCTGGTGAGTATTAAAAAAAAAAAAAAAGAGTGTTTGTACCCATGTGGGGGTCAGAAACAAGCACATCTGTATTCCAGGGCTTCCAGGAGACTTTGCTGCACAGCCTCTAATTACTGATCATGCACTGATCACCGTTTATTTAGGCAGATAAAACCAATAGGCGCCGGGGAGGGCAGACATTCTCTCTTGGCTTGAAAACAAGCCTACAGCTGCTTGGAAAAGGCAGGCTGCTGAGCTGAGGCCTGCATGTGGCAAACAGCCCAATGACACTAATTAAAATGTTACCCAACTGGAGTGATCGTTTAAATCATAAGTAATGTCAGTCATTGCTTTCACTTCTGACTCTACACTACAATAACACAATAAATTTGCACTAAACACAAGGACAAGAGTAAATGAATGGCCCCATTAATTTGCAAAAGTAAATGTCCTAGATATGTCTAATGTTAGTCCATAGAGAACAAGGGTGTCCTAGGGTCAGGCAACTGCAGGGTTTGGGGAGGGCCATAAATAATGTGCTTTCTTCCCCTTCCATGCTCAGAACCCACTCAGGCATAAGACACAGAATGGAAATTAAAGTGTTAGCTTTCCTACTGATAAGATCCGAGTCGTTAGAGCTGTTTGTTCTATCCCCCTTCTCAGTCCAGACCTTGAGTCACCATTTCCTTAAACTAGTCCCGGGCACTGAGGGGAGAAAAAGAACGTGAATCCTCACAGCTAACATCTTTCTAATGGATTTGCTGTTCTTTGAGAAAGATGAGCCATTGGATGTCACCTGCCAGAACATGTGGGGGGCAAGCATTTAGAGTGAGCAAAATGCAGGATCGTGTTACTGTAGGGTTAATGAGAAATAATCTCCCACTTGGTTTGGCCTATTGGAAAAACGCAGGGGCACAGGGGAGGGACTCCTCAATGGCTTCCAGGTGATCTCTTCTTCTCCCCTCCCATCAGAGAAGATCGGAATCTTGGCCTGTTTCATTGGGAACAGGGGACAGGCAGGGGAGGGAAGCCAACAAGCCTACCCCAGTCTGCATGCTCTCAAAATTCATGTTAGCACAGGATTTTATTGGAATGTCTTCTCTTCTGGAAGGGAATGAGGAGCATGTGGGCAGAGGCTAGAGGCATTGTCCAACACAAGTTCCTCTACAGAGAAACAGGGTCAGACGGGTGGGTGGGGAGTTGGGGGCGGGGGGGCTGGAGGGGTGGCTTCCCTCTGTCAGCAGAGAGGTACCTAACACCTGATGCCCTGGGATTGCCTGCTCTAGAAAGGCCGGCCAAATACACACTGAGAGGGGAAATCCACTGACGGCACCAAACCCTGGGCCAAGGACTGGGAATGCAGGGATAAAGGCACACGCAGGGTGACCTAGGAAAGCTACAGCCTGGGTAAGACCCCACCACTGCTACCTACCATGTAAGCCTAGAAGAGCTTTATAGTGTCTACCCAACTCTAAAGGCACATGGAGGATAAATGGCAAATCTCTTGCCCTGAGTCATTTCCCACTTACCCAGGCACTAATGAGGCTGAATTCTGGGGATTCCGTGGAGGACTCCTCATGGAGCTGATATTCCAACACCATGACAACTCTGCCATTGGAGAAGAGCTTAAGGCCGGCCCTACTCCAGCAGAGAAAACCCTGGATGATGTGTCAAATCCCTATACTCTATGGCTCTTCAACTCTTTAGGCCTCTGATTTCCCCCTCTCGTATGTTTGATGTGCTGTCAGCTTCCTCCTGGGAATGCTAGACTCAGCTAGGTACCCTCTCCGGCGGCGGCGGGAAGCCTTACTGAGTCCTCAGCGGGGGGGGGGGGGGGGGGGGGGGGGGGGCTTGCTTTGTGCCGCGTCCCTGGCAGGCTATGTGGGCTCCTGTCCGCGGATGGACCTCACCTTAGGTTCCTTAAGGGCAGGGGCAGTGTCTCTTTGACCCTCACACCCCAGCGCCCTGCACGATGCCAGGCAGAGCCAGCCCTCTATAAATACCCGTTGCCCTAAACCCAAGTCCTAAAATCCCAAGGGCAGGTTGCAGATAAAAAGACGTGTGAGAGTGAGGCTGGGGAGGGCTCCTCTGTCCCTCTGTCCCTCTGTGACCTGCAGGCCACCCTAGGGGAAGGCAGGCTTGGGGTAATCGGGCGCGGCGGGTACCTAACATTATGTGAACGTCAGGAGCTTCTCGAACCTGCAGGGAGGTGCATGCACACCACACCCAGGGAGGTGTTAGGGGTGGATTCGCCCGTGGCCGCAAGTCTCTGGGCCGGGGCTGGGGGACTGGGCCGGCGCCCGCCCCGCGTTCCCCAGGCCGCCGGCAGGGGGCGCGCGAGGCCTCCGGGGGCCGCGGGCGGGGCGGGAGCCGGGCGGGTGCTGGGTGGGG